TGTGCTTGTAAAATAATGACTGGATATTTAAACAAAATGCTTTATATTTTACTGCATTAATTTCACATCTGTAAGCCAATTCTAAATGTAAAGATTGTCTGCGTAAACCTGAACAGGCCCAACCCAATCTTACTGTGAGACCTGGTTGACGGGTCACGCTTGTGCGTAATCATATGCGCTGTCTGAGCTGAAGATGTGAGATTCTGGGCTTCTTCTCAGATGGCTTCTGGATGCGTCGCCACATTGGAGACAGGAACAAGCACTATTCAGCCAAAGTTTCATAATCAGGGAACATTTTCTAAGTGACAAGTCTCTCTGAGCGACAGGGTTTGGAAAACACTCGCTTCAGTGGGAGGAACCTTCCTGCATGCGCTCTGGTTCTGCAACGCGCTCCAAGCAATCTCCACAACTTCAGCTCGCTGTGCACACATGTGCTGACAGCGAGCTGCGCTGAGCAGTGTCCAGCTCAGATGTTCAGAAGGGAATCTTTTCTTGGGTGATTTAGCTACATCTGCAATGTGCGTAACGAATAAAATGTCAGTTCGTCTGCATGCGTCGGGGTAATTCTTTCTATTCTTTCCCCATCAAAATAAACGGTCAAATACGGGAACTATCCGGTAAACACAACACAAGCCCTGCTTTTGACTGTTTTTTCTTGTGAAAATTGTTGGAAAGAGATAAAATTTAACTTGATTACCACCAGAGCCTGCGCCGTTATCTCCGTGACTGTAAATGAGGGAAAAACAAATTGATCGGATACTGCACATCTTTTAACACATTGGTCAGGATTGACGCACTTTGTTTTCATTTAGTTGGTTAAAAAAAAGTCGGGCTTGGGTCGGGCCAGAGAATCCTGAAAACCTTTTTGGACCGGGTCGGGCTGGGGCTCCACCCCTCGGGCCGGGCCGGACACGGGCTCAGATTTTAGGCCCGTGCAGGGCTCTACCGCCAGTGGTGTCTTCTGTATCTGTAACATTTATATCCTTGATCACAGCTGGAACAACGTTCAAAGAATGGTTAGGAGGGCTATGCCTGAGCGTGAACGCGCACGAAGCAGCCTGCTTGACCCGAGCAGCTCTCTTTTTCTGTGATTTTACAGAAAAACAGGCAATCACAGTAAAAATGCCAGGGCTCATTCTACAGGACCAGGGCATTGCAGGAGAATGTATGAAGAAGAAATTTATTATTTCTATACATGTTTTGGCTGTCAAACTTCCATAATGCCCCTTTAAAGGAATATTCCACCGCTCAGTACAATTGTGTCTTGTTAAGATTCCCCAGAGTTAGACAAGTCAGAAAAAGCATTTTATAACCAGCCCAATATGATCTGGCAGCAGTTGGTTTTCTTAGTTTAGCATAAAACAATGTAAGTGAATTCACATACATTGTAGTGTTTTTTTATGGAGGTGAGTGCAAGCCTTCCCTTCCATTGCTTTATGCTAAAACAACTGGTTACAAAATGTTTTTTCTGACTTGGCTAACTCTGGGGAATCTAACAGCACACACAAGTTTAGGGACAGAAGATCCCTATAAGAATATTAAAATTATAAAAATGCAGCAACAAATAAAACGTAATACTTGTGCTTTGTAACAAAGTAACACTCTGTGGAAGTTAACTTGGTGAACTTATTCACCCTGGACAGGAAATAATTGCACATAAGAAACATAAATAAGAATAAATTTTAAAAAGTTCCAAAACAATAATTTGTGTTCAAAGTTCTAAGGAGTAGAGCCACACAACATGAGTTCATAAAGCTGGCGCCATCTGCTGGATAGGTAGTGCGATATCGGTCATATCGGCAGTCTTTTTGGCAGATAGCCGATACCGTTAATGACCCCAATATCGGCCGGCCGATATATCGGTCAGACCCTAATCCTAACATGCAAATCTCTGAGCTGGGGCCTAACAGGAAGTTCAGACACAGAGCCTTCTCAGCATACAGCTCTGGTGAAACAAATGGAAACATGAACCAAGGATGTTATCATAAGTCATTTGCATTCTCTAGCCCAGCAGGAGCCCACAGATCAAACCTGGACTTTACATGTGTGGACCTCTATACTGGCATTATTGTTAAAGCCTACAGCTGCAAGGTTAAAAAACAGTTGGTGTTCTTCTCATCATAATGCGCTTGTGTCATTTTCTGCAGGGTCAGATAACTTGATTTTCCTGACAGGAAGTTGCCAACAACAGAACTAAATTACCACTATAGGATGGGCGATGGAATGATAGCAGGCATATGAGAACGGTTCGATAGCAACATTGTTATAGAGAAGAGATGAACAACCAATCAAATCAAGCGTTACCAATGCTGGACTAGGGTTGTCACGGTAACCGGTGTAGCAGTAAACCCCGGTAAAAAAGTTGACAATAATAATAACCGTCTTGTTTTTAAAAAAATATATTATCTCGGTGGATTACCGTGGCTGCGGTGTAGGCGTGGTGACCCTTACCAGCCACCGTATCATCTGCTGAAGTTGCTGGTGGCACATGCACACTTTGTTGTTTACAACCAAAACTTTCTTGACGCTAAAGCTGAAATAATGGCCAAAGGAGGAGACGGTAGTGCTCAGAACATTTATTATCCCTCAAAGAAGACAAAGTGGGAAGTACGGGCATCTTTTGGATATTTGAAGAATGCAGAGGGACAGTTGATAGAAGACGGCTATCCTGTTTGCAGCACGTGCAGAAAAAGTGTCTGTGAAAGGCAGCAACGCTTCAAATCTCATGACACATCTGCGTGACCATCACCCACAACTCTACAGTCAACACAAGGCAAGCTAACATTAGCGTTTTAGCTAAAATGCGTGATCCGAGGATTTGGGTTGAGGGAGAATGCAACGAGTCGCTATATAATGCAGCCGCAGCGCTGCTACCTGCATATAAACTGTGTCGCGGACACCCCCATGTTGAAATGACGCTATGCATGATATAGGGTTTATTACTCAAGTAAGGGTAAAAAAAAGTATCTGATTAGAAGGCTACTTGAGTACTGAGTATCATCTGATCTAATATTTTTAAAATGATGACATCAAACAGACAAAAAATAAGACGTTATGGGCAAATATTGGTATTTTAAAGACTAAAGGGAAAAAATGTAAACAAATAAACAACATAATAACAAAATAACAAATTTTAGGCTAAATTTAGACACAAACTGAGGGCAATATTTTCCTGACATACAGGGTTTATTTAGTTGCCTGAAAATGTAACACGTTTAAAAAAATACTGCGATAATACCGAAAACCGTGATAACTTTGGTCACAATATCCGCAAGGTTAAAATTTCACACCGTCACTACTCTGCGCTGGACCAATCAAGTGGCTGAAACAGAGCGAAACACAGAAAGCAGCAATTAGTAGCCGTTATAGTGGATGGTATGTTTCCACCAGCCGTGAAGAATCGCGTTTTGTAAGCATCCCAGAAACATAGGGACACACTGTTTGTGCATCGACTCTATTTTTTACACACTATTCTTTGAGAAGGCTTCAAACTCAGCAGTTCATACCAGGCCAGACTAGGGTTGTCACGGTGTGAAAATTTAACCTCACGGTTATTGTGACCAAAATTACCACGGTTTTCGGTATTATTGCGGTATTTTTTTTTAAACGTGCTACATTTTCACACAATTAAATAAAACCCTGTATGTCAGGAAATATTGTCCTCAGTTTGTGTCTAAATTTAGCCTAAAATGTGTTATTTTGTAATTATGTTGTTTATTTGTTTACATTTTTCCCCTTTAGTCTTGAAAATACCAATATTTGCCCATAACTTCTTATTTTATGTCTTTTTGATGTCATCATTTTAAAAATATTAGATCAGATGATACTCAGTACTCAAGTAGCCTTCTAATCAGATACTTTTTACCCTTACTTGAGTAATAAACCCTAGATCAGGAAAATATTGTCCTCGGTTTGTGTCCTTCCAGTGAGCTTTGCAGATTTGGGAAACTGTCATCAGGCAGTAATCATTGTTAAATTCATAATTATTCTTGGAGAGAGACCAACTCTTATCTGCCCCTGGGAGCCCCGTAATGCATAGCATCATTTCAATATGGCGGTGTCCGCGACACGGTTTATATGCAGGTAGCGGCGGTGCGGCTGCTTTATATAGCGACTCGTTTCATTCTCCCTCAACCCAAATCCTCGGATCACACATTTTAGCTAAAACGCTAACGTTAGCTTGCCTTTCGTTGACTGTAGCGTTGTGGGTGATGGTCACGCAGATGTGTCATGAGATTTGAAGTGTTGCTGCCGGATAGCCGTCTTCTATCAACTGTCTCTCAGCATTCTTCAAATATCCAAAAGATGCCCGTACTTCCGACTTTGTCTTCTTTGAGGGATAATAAATGTCCTGAGCGCTGCCGTCTCCTCCTTTGGCCATTATTTCAGCTTTAGCTTCAAGAAAGTTTTGGTTGTAAACAACAAAGTGTGCATGTCCCACCGGCAACTTCAGCAGATGATACGGTGGCTGGTAAGGGTCACCGCACCTAAACCGCAGCCACGGTAATCCACCGAGATAATATAGTTTTTTTTAAAACAAGACGGTTATCATTATTGTCAACTTTTTTTACAGGGGTTTACCGCTACACCGGTTACCGTGACAACCCTAGGCCAGACAGGAACTGAAACACAAAAATGGTGTAAAACATCTAATCCCCCCAGGAAACCCCCTCCTCACCAGTCAAAAATCCGAAACCCAAAGTGCTTTTACCAAAACAAAAGAACCAATCCTGATTCTTGGCAACGTAATGAAACTGATGGACCCCCCCCCCCCAAAAAAAAAGAAAAAGCACAAATAAAACAATATTGACCTTTGATCCCTGATCAAACTGAACATGATTACACTTTGATCAATCGTTCTACAATACAAGCAGCTGCAAAACAAGCCACAGTTTTGCCAACACACTGTCCATAAAACATTTATCTGACTAAAAATCACATTATGAACATCTTGTAATCCTAGTTACAAAGTCTTAATGAATTCTTGGATATTATCTTACCTGCAAACTGATGATGTCTGCGTTGCAGCCGAGGATTTCCTGCATGATGGACTTCTTCCTGTACTCCCAGTTTAGAGCCCAGGTCGGGCAGTAGCCATAGAGCTGCCTCGTGGCGTATTTATCACACAGCACGTTATAGCACATGACCGAGAAGAGAGCTAAGGAACACAGACAGGAAAAATTTCACTCGTTCACGTGTTTCTGAAGCTGACAGCAACCTTAAACACTCCCTTCTAAGGCGTTGTCTTGCTTTAGTTATTAAATCATAATCAGATGGGTTTTATTTGGTGAAATTACTAGTTCCACCCATCAGTAGCAGTGAGTTAACCAAAACACAGGAAAAAGACTTCGACTCATCATGAAACCCCATCGGTGCAGCGTCCTCATTTACCACGAGAGTTACAGAGATCACACTACGTCGCTGGTTTTAGAATGAAAACGGTTAAAACTACAAACAGTACAATCTCGTCTCTCGTCTCGTCTTCCTCCGCTTATCCGGGTCCGGGTCGCGGGGGCAGCATCCCAACTAGGGAGCTCCAGGCCGTCCTCTCCCCGGCCTTGTCCACCAGCTCCTCCGGCAGGACCCCAAGGCGTTCCCGGACCAGATTGGAGATGTAACCTCTCCAACGTGTCCTGGGTCGACCCGGGGGCCTTCTGCCGGCAGGACATGCCCGAAACACCTCCCCGGGGAGGCGTCCAGGAGGCATCCTGACCAGATGCCCAAACCACCTCAACTGGCTCCTTTCGATCCGGAGGAGCAGCGGTTCTACTCCGAGTCCCTCCCGAATGTCCAAGCTCCTCACCCTATCTCTAAGGCTGAGCCCGGCCACCCTACGGAGGAAACTCATTTCGGCCGCTTGTATCCGCGATCTCGTTCTTTCGGTCATTACCCAAAGCTCATGACCATAGGTGAGGATTGGGACGTAGATCGACCGGTAAATCGAGAGCCTGGCTTTCTGGCTCAGCTCCCTCTTCCCCACGACAGATCGGCTCAGCGTCCGCATCACTGCAGACGCCGAACCAATCCGCCTGTCGATCTCCCGATCCCTCCTACCCTCACTCGTGAACAAGACCCCGAGATACTTAAACTCCTCCACTTGAGGTAGGACCTCTCCCCCGACCCGGAGGTGGCAAGCCACCCTTTTCCGGTCGAGAACCATGGTCTCAGATTTGGAGGTGCTGATCCTCATCCCAGCCGCTTCACATTCGGCCGCGAACCTACCCAGCAAGAGCTGAAGGTCAGAGCTGGATGAAGCTAGGAGGACCACATCATCCGCAAAAAGCAGAGACGAGATTCTCCTGCCACCAAACTCGACACACTCCACACCACGGCTGCGTCTAGAAATTCTGTCCATAAAAGTGATGAACAGAACCGGTGACAAAGGGCAGCCCTGGCGGAGTCCAACCCTCACTGGGAACAGGTCCGACTTACTACCGGCTATGCGGACCAAACTCACGCTCCTCTGGTAAAGGGACTGAATGGCCCTTAACAGAGAGCCACCCACCCCATACTCCTGGAGCGTCCCCCACAGGGTGCCCCTGGGGACACGGTCATAAGCCTTCTCCAAATCCACAAAGCACATGTGGATTGGTTGGGCAAACTCCCATGCCCCCTCCATCACCCTTGCAAGGGTATAGAGCTGGTCCACAGTTCCACGGCCAGGACGAAAACCACATTGCTCCTCCTCTATCTGAGATTCAACTATCGATCGGACCCTCCTCTCCAGTACCTTGGAGTAGACCTTTCCAGGGAGGCTGAGGAGTGTGATCCCCCTATAGTTGGAACACACCCTCAGGTCACCCTTCTTAAAGATGGGGACCACCACCCCGGTCTGCCACTCCCTAGGAACTGCCCCCGATGACCACGCAATGTTGTAGAGACGTGTCAACCATGACAGCCCTACAACATCCATAGTAGCATGCGGCGATCAACGGCAGCTCGCCTCCTACGGTACCGTCTAGATGCGCGAGGGAGCGCTTCACACCGCTTCAGTGATTCCTTTAACCATTGAGCTTCATCATCCAGGTCTCTTATGCGTCTTCGTGTGCGCAGAATTATGCTTAAGGGCCTCGTGATTTTTATCTTGAGAGGCGCTGTAGAAATGATATTTTCTTCTTCTTCTTCTTCTTAACATGAGTCCGATCACCCCCCCCCCCCCCCACCACCACCACCCCCCGCCGCCGTCAGACATCTGGAACTTTTCCCTGCTGTGTGAACGCAGCCGAAAGGACAAGTTCCGGTACAAAAGTGGTGTGTCTGAAAACACAGTTCCGGTTAAAAACCGGATTGAATTGTCCGCAAATGTTCCAGAATGTCTGTCTGAAAAGGGCTTTAGAGTACAACTAAAGGATGCAGTAGCTTCTTAGGGGTCGCACTTGTTTACTGGCTTTATTCAGTTCTTTTAACAACTCTGGAGCACTGTGTTGAATTACAAATGCCTGGGATGCTGGGTTAGCTCACTGCAGACTTGGCAACCTCACAGACTCACCGAATAAAGTCTGCTGCACACGAGAGCAAACGGCCTCAAATGGTAATTTGCTCAGCAGATACCTCCCTGTGTGCGCCTGATTTTCAAAGAGTTTTCAGCCTCACGAGACGCTGAGGTGAATATCTGACCGGTTTGATATTTTCCGCCTCACAGGGGGTAAAAACTCGCTGTGTGCGCACTACGTGTGCTGCTGGCTGAGCTGAAATATTCTAGTGGCCAATCAAAGCGCATTCTCTGCTCACATGATTCCAAGATGTATTCAGATGTGGCCCCTGCCCTGTCTGAGTGTCAGAAAAATAAACGAAACAGTGCCTTGCAGATCGATGGGCCCACTGTTTCCACTACCCCCTCAAAGGATTCAGGATCCAGGCTGTGGTACTGTCGGAAGCATTCTGGGTCTTCAAGACACATCTCTTGGAGTAGATTGGTATAAACTCCTTGCCTGGCCCTGCTTTACAGCCACCGTACACATACTATCCTAACCTTGAAATGACGGTGGTGGCGATGCCTCATAAACAAAAAAAGTAGAGGTATTTCCTCCGTTTCCAGCTACGTCTTCGTTTTGTTTATTTTCTGACATGCAGACAAGGGGCTGCCATCTTGGGGTCATGTGAGTGGAGAACGTGCTTTGATTGGCCACTAGAATATTTCAGCTCGACCAGCAGCTCACTTAGTGCGCACACGGTGAGTTTTTACCCCCCCGAGGGGGTCAGATATTCACCTCAGCGTCTCGTGAGGTGGAAAATGCGCACACAGCGAGGTATCTGCTGAGCGAACGGTCATTCGAGGCCCCTTGCTCAGCAGTTGGCTCTCGTGTGCGGCAGGTTCTAAGTGACGTCCCCATTTTGTTTTGTCTTTTTAAAGGAGAAAATCTGACAACACCCCAGCCAGCGGAGAATTAAATCTGTTTCATTGTAACCTTCCTTTCAATGTGATTGAGACATTAAACTGTTTTGGGCTGCCTAGTGGTGCAGTTGTTAGCACTGTTGCCTTGCAGCAAGAAGGTTGCAGGTTCGAAACTCGGCTACAGTCTTTCTGCGTGGAGTTGCGTGTTCTCCCCATGCATGCGTGGGTTTCCTCCGGGTACTCCGGTTTCCCCCACAGATCACAACATGCCCTATAGGTTATAAGTTGTACGTTGCTTTGGATGAAAGCGTCTGCTAAATAAATAAACAAACATTATTTCACTGTGGAACTCTTACATAATGCTGCTTTAATGACGGATCAGTGAAAAAGAAGCAGCTTTTACTAAATATTTAGGAAAAAGCTTCTGAATATCACGGGTGCAATCATGATGGTACGGGTGTATGTATACTATTCACAAACACCTGTACCATCATACACATAAAACTATTAATTGTAATTATCATTGTGCAAACATTTACACAGATATAAAGTAATAGAAGAGGATGAGGAAGATTTAGGTTAGTTAAGTCTGATGAGGAAGTGGCAGTGAGCAAGTTTGTGCTTCTTTTGATCCCTTTTCAGGTTTGTGATTGACCATGTCATTCTTTGATTCTTATATTTGTTTTGTTTTTCTGTTTTTATTTAGTATTTAAAATACTTACAAATGGAACTGCATACTCAGAATAAAACAGATTACTACAACTATCACTACTTCTGGGTATTATTTACTGCCGCGATAAAATCTTCTAATCAAATATCTGCATTAGCTTTACTGACATTGATTAATGTTTGCTAGCGTTCTTGTATTTAGGCGTTTAACCGTATAGCCTGCAAATCGCTTCCAGCTGCTTCAGAACAGTGCTGAGAAAACATCCTCTCCTGCATCTATAGCCAAAACTTAAATAACTATTAAAGATATTTAAAACATAACCTACTTCTGTGAGAGGAAAGGAGGTGTGTGTGTGTGGGTGTTCTTACTTGACGGACGTGTTCGGTCGGGTTCCTGAAGAGAGATCCACGATCGGGCAGGGGGCTGCTCGGTTGGTACTGTGTGGAGGAAAAGACGGTTCAGTAAAAGCCCTTAAACGCTTCTCCTATCCAGTATCCTCTTCTCTTCCCAGGCGTAGGAAAGCTGAAATTCCTGTTCAGCCTTACAACAACGGCAGAGGGCTGATACTCACTGCGCTTGATAGCTCCTGCCAGATTGTCTAACAAGTAGCTGAGCAGTCTCCGTGTGCCATCGGGTTCCTGGTAGAGGCTCATAATATCTTGTGCAAGTGGGTTTCCTAAGAAACACAGAAATCAGCTGTAAAAACAGCAGAGAAATAAATAAATGGGCTTTGAGGACTGAAGCCACTCACCTTTTAACCCCAGTGTCTGTAACTGAAACAGTTTTCCCAGTTCAAAGGGGAGAACTCGCAACTGGTTGTTATTTAAAAGCAATTCCCTGCCGAGGACAAACAGGAGTCAGGTTATTTACAAACACTTCAGAAAACAGCAACACTTTCACTGCAGTTTTTACATCCAGGTTTACAATTAAAAACTTCTCAGTGGCCTGATGGTAGAGGTCTGCCCCGGGACTGGGAGATCGGGGGTCAAACCAAAAACTTGTGCCTCCCTGCTTTAAGGGGTTGGGTTGGGGGTTAAACCACCAAAGAGTTCCCGAGCGCAGCCACTGCTGCAGCTTACTGCTCTCCACGGGGATGAGTCAAATGCAGAGATGCACTTCACCCGTGTGTGAGGATGACTTAGGGACTTTAACTTTAAAAACAAACACGACTCATTAAGTCTTTCAAATGAAAACAAAGACCCTGAAAGGGGAAAATCTGCAACAGAATAATAAAAAACACCTCATGAGAGTTCCCGGTAACCTGTGACTGCTCCTTTTCCAGCTCAGCACTAATTACATTGTGTAACCTGAAATCACTGACCTGAGAGACACCATGTTGCCGAGCTCCGCCGGCAGGCTCCTGATCTTATTGGATGAGAGATCCAGGTACACCAGGTTGTGTAGTTTGGCTATGTCTGGCGGGATTCGTGACAGAGAGTTGTCACTGAGGTGAAGGGCAGTGAGGTGGGTGAGAGACCACAGGGCTGTGCTAAGACTCCTCACTCGACCTGCAGCAACAGGGAGGACAAATTAAACAGGGTGTGTGTGTGTGTGTGTGTGTGCGTGCGTGCGTGCGTGCGTGTGTGTGTGTGTGTGTGTGTGTGTGTGTGATGGGCATAACTGTGACTACAGTTACTTTATAGAAGATAATCTAGTTCTGGACAAATAAAATGAAAATTTCTACATCTCTACTTGAAAGACTCAGTCTACACATTTATTATTTTGGGGTAAATAAAAAGCTTCGCCTCCCTAATGAAGCCTTCCTCAGCTTCCCAACTAGATACCATATTGACGTTGTCAGGGGAGCAGCCTGCTGCTGAATTTAGCTCTCAGGTGTAATTGAATTAATGAGGAGCAAACGAGAAATTCAGCACCAAACACAGGCCGTGCTGTCGGTAACAGCGGCCGGAGGTTTGAGACGGTTGCAGGAAAGAGGAAGCTGGACCTTCTTTACGTAACTGACTAAACACAGGTGGGTGTGTGCCTAACACCCAGATTAGATCTCCAGTGTTCTGAGCCGGCGTTATAATCCAGCTGCTGGCTATCACATCACTTTGCTAGATTTTGGCCACTTTAAAAACTAACTCAAATAAATTATATTTAAAATTTTATTTTTAATCCTAATGACCTAAAATTATTTATTTAAACAGAAGATGAGTATAAGCAGAGGAATGTACTAAAATATGTTAAATCATCTCATGTATCAACACACTCAAATCTGCTAATATATTATTTTTACACGGGCAACATATTTCACAACAATTAATAAAACTATTAAGCTGTGTGCCTAAAAAACCAAGATAACGTACCTCAGAGGAATATTATGTTTCAGAAATGTCTTAAAATTATTAGCCTCCTTCTGCCATAACAGTCTATGAGCATCGGGTCGGATGAACAGAGTTCCGACACAACTCCTGTTTTTTATTCCATTTGCTTCCATATTCTATAAGGGTGTTCCGATTCACAATTTAATCGATGCATCGCGTTGTGACATGTGCCGACTCATAATCGATTTGTAAAAGTTCAGAGACGATTATAAAAAAATGCTGAAAAACAGCCACAAAGCACGGCAGAAATATAAAAGTTACGCGTGCCGCCCGGACACTTCAGGAGACGGACCAGAAAATAAATAAATAAATAAATAAACACACAGCAATGGCGGAAGCTTGTTTCTCAGAATCAACCACTGAGTATGAGATTTACTCATCAGGATTAAAGGAAAGTTGTGTAAAACAAAAGTTAAATACAACGGCAACACCACCAACATGCGTGGAAGGATTAATCTAACTTGCCCGCAACTCCGGCTTTTCTTTTAATAAAACTACAGCGCTACTTTTCTGTCAGCGGAGGCGGCAGCAGGGAGCCGTTGGTCATTTATAAGTGGTCAAACTGCTGCGGTATTGTGGAGCGATCATGGTGGTATAAGATGGGTGCGATGGCGGCCTTCACGCTGTAAAGGACCTCCCTTTCGCTTAGAAGTAACTTGTCTTTAATGCCGATTGAAGTAACGCTCCTTAAGTTTTTCTACAAGCTGCTCCAAAAGGTGTTTGTCCTTTACATTCCCCATGGACATCTGGTGAACTGAGCTTCATCCAGAAGCTCAGGATCTATGCACCATCCCAGTTTGCCACCTCAGCTTATTCTGCATTTACAAAAGCAAAACTGGCTGTCAGTGTTATCCTTCATTTTCATTTTTCACGTAGATTTCATGCAAAAGTATGTTGGGTATGTGTTCAGTCTTACATGAATAGGATAGTGGAGTAAAAGGTATTTGGTAACTTAATGTGTGCTGAATTAATTTGGCATCATGAAAAAGCTACAAAATGAGAAAAATAAAAACCTAAACAGTGAAAAAAAAAGCAAAAAAAAAAAAATTGCGATAATCATGACAATCGAATCAAAAGACCCTGAATCAAAATCAAATGGAATCGTGAGGTATCTAAAGCCGGGCGTACACTGTGCGACTTTTTCACTCGCAGCACTCAGCTTCAACTCAAACTGTACGACTTCCTCGCAGGGCAGATCTCACGAGTCATGTGCTCACACTGTACGACCCAGTTCTCGGATGCGACCTGACTGCTCACACTGTACGTCTGGTAGCAACACGTCGGCCCTAAAAACATGCTAAAAATAGCAGTTTTTACACAACACGTCAGACTTTTTTGTCTTGTCTTGCCTGTTGTCCTTCGGGAGTGCTGCAGGAGGACACACAGGGATTTATGGGGGTTGGATGAGTAAAACGAAATAAAGAAAGTAAATCTGTGTTTTGTGATCAGTTTAATTTGACATGAACACGACAAACACGCTTTCTTGACAATCTTTGTGAGTAAAAAAACGTGTAGAAACAAAAACGAACAACGTGTGTTATTAGGGAAATAGCGAATGGTGTTGATGCAGGATTGCGAATGCGCCGTGAGCGGTTCTGATACTTTTTGGGTCGCAGCTGCTCGCAGCGCCGCTTCAACAGTGCGATACCCTCACGAGGGACGAGCGAAATTTTAAACACGCCAGAAGTCCGTGCGACCTCACGACTGCTGATCGGCAGCTGGTCACGTGGTGTTAATCGCCTCTCGTAACCCCCTGTACACTACACGACCACTCGGCGCAAAACTCGCCCCGATGTCGTGGCTTCTCGCACGACTGGAAAATCAGCTCAAAAAAGTGAAAAAGTCGCACAGTGTACGCCCGGCTTTAGATGGCACACCCCTAATATTCTAAGTGGCACATGGTGTCAAAACGTTACTTTTTCCTTTTTTGCACCTAATGAAGCCCGAGTGCTCCAACCCTCCTGATTTTCACCCTACTATTCCAAATTTGATTTTTGTCAACAACCAGGTTTTTGGCCATTTTCTATGTTTAGGCACAAATAGTTTCTGTAGGTTTAAATGAAAACATTTGGACTGAGGCCAGGCTTTTATTTACTGCATGTCTCAAATAACCTTCAAAAAACAACCAGCAGGGAAGGATCATTCTGCAAAAATATAAACGAAGAAACACCAACTCTTTAATGGGTAGCATAAGAATTTATGGAGGTTTTAGGGCTGAGCTAAGCTTACATGTTGCATGTCAAACATGTTTCAAAACTCTGGTTTTATCTTTGAGAAAATGGAAAACAAAGTTTATACTTGTTAATGACCACATTCATGCATTTGTCAACACATGTGCTGATGCCTAAAGTACAAGAGAATGGTTTGTGAGTTGATCTCTGTGGGAATAATGCTCCGGCGCTCCTGTTTCAGAAACTACAAGCGAGTCAGAAGAATGGGGAGGAGAAGACGGCAGGATTTGGAGTCTTGTTTCATGATATCTGGACATCTCGTCTCTGATTGGCTAACAGTGAAGCGACTCTACCACTGAATCTGTTCTGTACCGTTGATGTTTAATCTCTCCACAAATATCACAAGCCTGGAGGACTTCTGCTGTGTGGTGGATTTGCTAATGCTAACAGTTAGCTTCTACTACCCAAGACGTTCTCTGCCGTTTTCTGAACGCCAAACCAACAACAGCCTTCCTTGTTGCGATCCAAGATGGGTGGATCCATGACTTTTCTTATCCATGAGTTTTCTCATCTATTTTCTACTGGTGGTAAATACCGGAAATAGGGGTAGAAGACACTTTTCATGTACAGCCTGCATATGAAACTCAGAGTGGCAATCACATTTAGAAAATAAACAAAAAATGGTTTATCAGTGAACTTGGCCTATCAAACAACTGGAATGTTTTACTTTGTGAAGTGCCTTGAGACGACTTGTCGAGATTTGGCAGTGTTTAAATTAGGGCTGCACAATATATCGAAAAATTATCGTCATTGCGATAACAGGACGTGCGATAGGCCCATCGCAAAACACGGCAAAAACAGTGATAAATGTTTGGTTCAAACATTTACATCCGTGTCATACATCAGCTTTTTGTAAACCAGCTGTTTTTCTTACGCGGAAGTATTATTTGACCAATCAAATGTAGCCCTTCTGACATGCGGCCAATCAGATGGTTCCGTTCACGTAATACGAACGCCCCCTACGTAGACCCTTTTGGAAAGCAACACCCAAAAAGAGTTTGCGGCGCTGTTCCCTTGTTCGTCATGCTGGCTCAGAGCAACGAACGCACTTTGTGCTGAGGTTTCTGGATTCAGCGCTGCTTTCAAACGTGAACGTGAGTCCGCTCGGTGTCGTTAATCATGTTTACCGGGCTGACTCCGACACGTGCCGGTGAACCAACCCACCTTCATGTCGCTAGTGTTAGCCCCAGGCTCCGGTTAGCTTCCAGCTAAAAGGCTACAGCACTCTCCTCCCAGTCCCACCCTGCTAAAGAGGGCCTGGAAAAGTTCTCCCACACATTAAAGTGATTTTTCATTTATGAGCTTTTATAACCTTGTTAATCAGGATAGTTGATTTGCTGCTGCACATAAACTGTCAGTCAGAAGCTCTGCTAGCCGGTTATCTTAGAGGAGCTAGTTCACTTTGTTAGCTTGTTATCAGAATCATAGTTGCAGTTTCATCATCTGAGCTGCTTTTTAAGATCTAGGTAAACTTGTTCAATTTGGGGTTAAAACAAACGTTTTCACATATTTTCCATGTAGTTTTTTTGCCAGTTCCTCTTCTGAAAGGTAGACAATTGTTTTTCTCTTTTTCTCAAAAAATCTTAATATTCTCCTAGTTTGGCCCAGCACAGTTCACTTCCCAATTACAGCAACAGCCTTATATCATAACCACATAAGTGGAGAAAATGTTCAGTAGCAATGAGAGAATTTGCTGTTGCATTTAAGTGATGTTAACTATTATTTAACATTTAAACTTATTTTCAGATATTTTTATTTATTCAAAAACCCTGGTAAGGGATGTTTTTCTGTATTTGGAGCATCAGAAAAAGTTTTATGGTGGAGGTGATGTTTTAAAGTCACTGAGAAACTGCATGCATGCAGGTTGTTGTTTTGCTGCTATTACAGTAGCAGGTGCAGCTGCATATTTTTGCAATAAAAATGTTATGTTGTAATGGAATTCATGCATTAGTTTTTGTTTGCTTTGAACCCAGAGCAGACGTCACACGCCAGACGACATCAACACTGCATACTTTAGTATTTGTTCATTTATCGTGAGTAATATCGATATCGCAATATTAAGCACTGTTATCGAATATCGCAGGTTTTCCTAATATCGTGCAGCCCTAGTTTAAATAAACCAAATTGAATTGAAAACTGTTTAAGAACCCAGAATGCATCTCAAACATCACAGCTGTACAACTGAGGTTTCTACATGCTGCAACATACTTAGCTGGGGGGCTTATCCAGCTTGAAATACAACAGCTTTAGTTGAACGGCTGTGATGCAATCAGCCTTAAAATTGAAAGATGCAACCTCTGAACTGGAACACAGCTATTATGTGATTACTATGGTGACTGTGGATGAGGTCATTAGGATTCAGCAGGTAATCTTCCAGCTAAAGTGTCAAAGGTTCAATCCTGTCCAGCTCCCCGGTTAAAAAGGTCCATCGGCAAAGGGTTCATTCCCCAAGATGCTTCCAGTTTCTGTGTGGTTGTATAATAATAATGTACTATAAAAGTAATGCACACACACACACACACACACACACACACACACACACACACACACACACACACACGTGTGTGTCCTTTGCATAGTGTGATGGATGTATTAAGTGCATGCCTAGTGTGTTCTGAGGGAACACTCACCACTGATTTCCAGCTCAGCCCAGTATGATTTCTTCCCATTTGCTGCCTCCTCGCTGGACATAATTGTGTACATCCGCCTTGGATCCGGCGGGTCATATTTTTCCTTGGGCATTCCTATAACACTGGAGATGATTTGTAATAAAAGTGTCAGTGACACAAATAAAGATGTCTGCCAATATTCCATAAACTACCAGGCAGCAGTCCTCAAGTCTGCTCTGAAATTGTGACTGTTTCTCTCTGAGATGTGATTGTTTCTGCAAATTCAACAATCTAACCAATTATCACAACACATACAGAGATGTGTTTATTTAAGTAAAGTGACGTGTTTTTTAATCTGTATAAAAATCACACAACTTCTATAGCTGTGGGAATACTCGAGATTAACTGTTATTGTATAAGTGAATTTGGGGGAAAATCTCAGAAGCTGGAAAAACAGGCTGCTTTTAGCTACGTGGAGCAGCATTTCTGTGTAGAAATATAAAAGCTGTTTAATTAAAACTAAAAGTAATCAAAGCTAAGCTCACCGATTATTCTTGGTGACGCTGACTGATTTGGCAGCTATCGAACTAAACAACAAAGCCAGATGACTCTCGAGCTTGCTTGCTAACTAGCAATACAGTCAACGCGGACAGCTAAAGATTGTGTTGACAAATTTTTAACTATCCTTTGCGCTTTTCTCTAATGTTTCACGATTAACACACCAAATAATCTTTAAAAATAAAACGTGCACTTGTTGTTTACATAATGCCAAAGCACTGAATTGCGCATAAACACAAGGCCAAAAAACAACGCAATCATCGGCTATCGCTAGCCACCTTTTAGCACGAAGAATGACCACCACGGAGCTTGAACGTTAAGTTTGTTTAAATAAAAACAAAATTAAATGCTGGACTGGCGAGCTATTTAGCTTAGCACGAGTTAGCCTGCTAGCCAAAATAAGCTAATACTTCAATCGTTTGAAGCTGACCGACTTCTTGTTGAAATAGTTAAAACGAAGGCAGCGACTTATGAACTCCAGAAGCGTGAAGCATTAGGTGGAAACACGGATGGGCTACTTGAGAGGATTTTATATATTTTACCTGCAAGAGCATACCAAATCGCGAGGGCGACTGCGTGTTCTCTTTTGTTTTCTAGCTACTTCTTCCCCGTTTCCGCTGCCGTATCATGGCGACTGTAAGGATTTTTTTCTCTTTCGATAACAGCGCCTTGTCCTATTGGTTCCCGTCCACACGGTCCAACCAGCTGTTGAACAACAGTAAATAAGATCCTGCACCGATTAATGATGGATGATTACAGCACTTGTATTTACCCGGGCTTGTTTAGTAAACAATTACCTCACCAGCAATCCCGAGGTGTGTAAATAAAAACAGAAAACGCTTCTACATTTCTTTGGTTTTGGCTAAAAGAAACACTTAAGGACATATTTTTTATAAACAGATAATAAACATTTTTTATTAAATTGCAGTTGTGCAAAACAAAGACATAAATGCATAAAAACACACAAAGTATACAATTAGAGCAATGCTTCAGGCAACATTCTTATACTGAAGAGCAAATAAGGCTGTTTATCACTGACAAACATCTAGCAGGTGATCCTGCAGATATGTTAAAGACTCTTCCACATGAAGAGGTAAATCTTGTCCGATGTCAGCCCGAGATCTGGACAGGAAGCTGTCAACAGCGTCTCGAACAGCGAGCTTCGTCACCATGTCGTCCGGCTTGTAAACAAATGATCCAGGTTTGTCTCGTTGCTCTGTGGAGTTGCTCCACAGACAGCCTGCAGAAAAAAGAAACAGATAGATTAAATAACAGCCGATTGCAGGTTTACACTGCCACAGCCATAAATGCTGTTTGGGGATGTTGGGTTTTGGACCGCCGGCCTACCTTTCATTGCTCTGTAGTAGCTGAGCAGCAACATCCAGAGCAGGTGGATCAACTCCTCCCACCTTCTCCACCTCTCCGCACCATCCTGTTGAACACATTTTTATCTGTAAGATTTTTTACAGCTAAACAAATGAAACTATTCCTCTAGTACAGACTGTCAGATTCTTGATAAAACTAGAAGATGGAGACAAGATAAAGGAGTCCGGTACGCACCGCTGAGTCTGGTGTCAGACTGCAGTTCTTCAGGAAGTGCAGCAGCAGAGTGAGCGACATGGGCTGGGGGATCTTCTGTGGACACGCGTAGTCCAGTAACTGCTCCAACAGCTTACATCTCAGCAGCATGCTGTTCAGGTTCTCCAGCAATAACATCCTGCATATCAGAAAAAACAAAACTACATGAGACACTGTGCATCTGGGCTAGAACAGTTATTTCTAATCCTTTCTGACGCAGCTGTGCAAAAACAACATGAGCAAATCAAAATGACAAAGTGTGTGGTTATTATGTACAGCTGAAGGGAAAAATGTGGGGGACAATGTTAATAGCAAACTATCTGGTAGAGCGGCAACAAACGATTAGTTGGATCATCGATTAATCAAATGGGGTCTTGACTTGATTAATCGAATTAAATGGGAACATTTAAAACTGCTAGGGAAATATTTTTTCTCACCTTCCTTTACTTTAATAACAAAACATGATTAGAAAACAGTTCAATACGGTGCTAAACAAAATGCTATCAACTAAATATATCCACAATTAAACTATGATCAGTAAAATGTAATGTATTTCATTAACATAATCAGTCAGTAAGCTACCGGAAATGCTAATAACATTTAATTTCTACTGCTAAAATGCAATGGTGACATACCTATTATGTACAGATTGGCAAGAATCCAATTTAAATTATGTTCACAGATAGACGTGTTTTTGAATTACATGCTACAGTGGCTTGCCATAACCCTGCAGCTGTGTTGAGTAGGGATGGGTACCGAATTCGGTACTTTTTAAGGTACCGACCGAATTCCATAGAACCGACCGAGCACCAATTCACATCTTTTCAAACGGTGCCTCGTTTCGGTACCCGTCCTTCATAACGAGAACTTGCCAAGACAGCTGCTCATGCGCAATAGCGTTATGTCATCGGTCGCTGCGAGCGAGTTGTAAACAGAGCAGCATGGTAGAAAGAATGCACGCTAATGCTTGGGTCCACTTCACTAAATGTGATGGGTAACTGGGTGATGATGAAACAGCAACAGACAACGATCTAAGTGAGACATCCTCATCTTAATCTGCTCCGGTAGGTAAATAAAATGTTTAAGATAACGTTAGCTTGCATGAACCATAAACGCTGCAAGTTGTGAAGCTCGTTCCTTCCGCGAGCCGCATCACCAAGCAGAAAGTAAATGCATCAAGCATAAACCAAGCTTAAGGCAAGAGGCCCAGACTTCCCTCTCCCCAGCCACTTGGGCCAGCTCCTCCGGGGGAATCCCAAGGCGTTCCCTGGCCAGGTCCCGTAAGAAGTCTGCTCCGACAGCTTCTGGCGTTTTTAAAAAGTATCCCAGGGGCACGGTAAGGGTCGGAGATGTTTAGTCTATTTAATTTCTGACTGTATAAAACGATTTCTTCGGTTTTAAGTGTGAAGTAAACTCCGACGAAGTAAAATCCAAGCCGATCCCGTTCATTTTGTTTACATTTGTTGCCTGCCAACATGACTTCTACTCTCTGAGAGTCACGTGACGTCCGGAGCTCTATTGCTGCACAACACAATGAATCGATGACAAAATGTGTTGGCAACACATTTCTTCTCCGATGTTGATTTTTATCAATTTTATTGATTCGTTGTTGCTTTAGTTATTAAATCATAATCAGATGGGTTTTATTTGGTGAAATTACTAGTTCCACCCATCAGTAGTAGTGAGTTAATCAAAACACAGGGAAAAGACTTCGACTCATCATGAAACCCGATTGGTGCAGCATCCTCATTCACACCAAGTTGCTGGTTTTAGAATGAAAACGGTTAAAACTACAAACAATACAATATATATTTAAACCAAAATACTATTTATTATCAAAAAATATTTGTAGTTTCAAAAGATTTGTAGTGAAGGAGAAGGAGGTTATCATTTTTGGGGGAAATATTTCAAATTTAAGGAGTTACACACCAACATCTTTTCTATCTGCATCTGGAAGAATAATTTAAGAGGGGATGAAGGAATGTTTAAAGGTGAAATCTGTAAGAATGACATCTAGTGGACAAATGTGGGTACTGCGGTCCATTTTTAGGCAAAAACATCACGTTCTCACTGCCGTTTGTGAGTTTCATGGCTGTTGCCGTTTAGGGATGAGCACCAGAAGATTCTAGATGACGACCGAAGACGAGTCATACACAGTAAGCGGAAAAGTAGATGAATACATTGTCATATCTGGTGTTAGCATTCCTGGGTGTGTTATGGCAGGGAGCACTTACTACACTTATTATGGTAGTTTGTTGGTTTTTGGAGTTTTTTATGGTAGATGTTGATTTTTATCAATTTTATTGATTCGTTGTTGCAGCCCTACTATCTGGTGAATTCCAGGCTAGATTTTCATAGTCATTATTGGAGGACCACCTACAGCTCGTTTTTGGAGTAAATCCAATTTAAGATGGCCACCACAGCTGATTGACATTAGCATTTAGCAATGCTATTAAATACTTGCTGTAAATTTTAACGGATAAACATCAATTTTAAAGACACTCCTGTAATTGAGCATTTATAACATGTGTTGAATCTTTCTCACACCTGTGTGCCCGTTGAGGCATGTGGCTGATGACCATATGGAAGAGCTCCTGGGAAAGTTTGGCAGAGTTTACAGTAGGAGAACGGTCCACCTCCAGAGCCAGAGACAGCATCCTTTGGAAGAGGGACACAATTCTGCAGGGAAAGGAAGTGTAGCAAAAACATTAGCAACAGACAGTACAGACAGGACAAGTCTGAGTAAAATAGCACACACAATAACATCCTTCACCTTATTTGTTCATCTCTCTCTCTGATTGCGTCACCACTTTCTGCCAGCTCTGTTGATTTGATTATTGCAGAAAACAACCACCTGATGACGTCTCTGTGTAAATAAAAGCAATCAGACAAAAACAAGAAAATTAATTAAATGTTTTTCAGAAGAATAAGCATAAATAAATGTTGTGACATACTCCTAATCACAACTAGATATTTCAGTGTTTTTTATTCACGTTTATATTTTAAATGAATGCTGGAGGGGGCACACACACACACACACACACACACACACACACACACACACACACACACACACACACACACACACACACACACTAATTATAGTAATTTGATTGATAAGAATAAAAGTAACATCAAAGGAATATGGAACGTGTTAAATACAATAATTAAGAAATGCTGTGAGGGCATAAACCATCCAGATTATTTTGTCAGTAATAACAGTGACATTTATGATAGACAGTTGGTAGTAAATTTCAATGAATTTTTTGTTGGGGTTGGTCAAATAAATAGTTAAGTGGAGTCTGAATCCAATGGTTATGGTGAATTGGACAATGTTGTGGATTCATTACTACTTGAAGAAGTGACTCAAAAGGATATTCGTGAAACTGTCAGAGTATGTAAAACTAAATTCTCATCAGATGGAGATGGCATAGATAAGTTTTTAGTTAAACAAACTATTGATTGTATTGTTGAACGTCTCACATATATATGTAATTTATCATTTAAATCAGGAATATTACCAAATAAAAAGAAGGTGGCTAAGGTGGTTCCTCTTTACAAATCTGGCAATAAGCATCAATTTACAAACTACAGACCAGGTAGATCTACTTCACAAGCTCTAATGGAATTGGTTGAAGACATATCCAGATAGGAAAAAATATGTTCTAGGAATTTTTATTGATTTGAAGAAAGCCTTTGATACAATCACAACACACTTATATCAAAAATGGAGAAGTATGGTATAAGGGGGATAACTCTTAAGTGGCTAAAAAGTTATATGAGTAACAGAGTTCAGTATGTCCATTTGGGTCATCACAAGTCTAGGTGTCTCGACATTGAATGTGGTGTCCCACAAGAGTCTGTATTCGGCCCCAAATTATTTATTTTATATATATAAATGATATCTACACAGTTTCAGATTTATTTAAAATTGTCGTATTTGCTGATGATACAAATATTTTGTGTTCAGCAGAAGATATAGAGCAACTGGTACAAACGGTCCAGAAAGAGTTGTGTAAGCTTAAGAATTGGTTTGATAAAAACAAACTGTTGTTAAATGTCAGCAAAACAAAGTTTATGTTATTTGGAAATAAAGGAAATGGTAAGATCAACTTTACTGTTAATGAGATAGCCATTGAAAGAGTGTATGAAATTAAGTTTTTGGGGATCTTGACTGATTATAAGCTCTGTTGGAAGCCATAAATAGAATTTGTGTGTTCTAAATTAGCTAGAAGCATTGGGATGATAAATAAAACAAGGTATTCTCTACCACAAAAAGCACTACACACACTTTACTGTACAATGATATTACCATATTTATTGTATTGTGTCGAAGTATGGGGTAATACCATTGACATAAATATAACACTTAATAATACTTATACTTATTAGTATATTATACTTATACTTCCTTAATAATACTTAGTAATACTTATAAATCAAATTTATTAAAGATCTGTGTACTCCAAAAAAGAGTGGTAAGAATAACTATTGGTTCAGGATATAGAGATCATACAACTCCATTACTTTACAATTTAAGATTACTCAAATTTTTTGACTTAACTCATTTCAAAACTGTCCTAGTCCCATATAAGGCCATGATGGGTGTACTACCGGGTAATTTGCGAATGATGTTTAAAAGGAGGCTATCAACTAAGGGGCATTCAAAACTATTTTTTCCATTATATCGAACGACTATGAAAAGTATGTGTGTATCTGTGTGTGGTATCAAACTGTGGAACAAACTTGATGTGACTTTAAAATCGTGTAAAAGCATTATATTATTTAAAATGCGGTAAAAACAACTTATAATTGACTCAGACATAAATTGTAAGTGATATAAATGGTAATTGATAGTGAATGATATATTCTATTTTGTTGTTTGTTTTGTTTTAATTTGTTTTCCTTTTCTGTAGATTCATGTGAACAACTGTTTTGTTATTGTACTTTATCATGTAGTATGGTAATGATAGAATGGCCTGCATGAAAAAAGTTTTCAACTTTGTATTTGCTAATGTGAACAAAGTTATTTGAGTTAACTGAATTGGGGCTGGACTAGATAAGCTTTTGCTTCTTCCAGTCCCCTCTCAAACAGTTTTATGTTACTGTATGTTTTGTTTTGTTTTCTTTAGTTTTTTGTATGTTTTTTATTCATAAGCATTTGTTAATTTTAATCCATATTTTGTCTTATTGTATGTACTAGGAATATGGATGAGTGCATGTGCAATTTTATGTTTTTTTCAATGGTTTGAGATAAAAGAAAGAAAGAAAGAAAGAAAGAAAGAAAGAAAGAAAGAAAGAAAGAAAGATCATTTACAAATCACCTGTTTCAGGGTCAACAAGATTGCCAGATTAGAGGAGATGTAGGAGACTATTTTGCTCCCTTATCTTTTTTCCCAAGGCTCTTTGTCCTGTCTGCCCACAGAGCGCTTCTCTGCATTTCTTCTGAAAAACCCTACTTTTTAACGATGGATTTGATTAATTGGTCACTCAACGTGATTGATATGATCTTTTCAACAATGAGAACGAAGCAGGGGGCTCCCACTTGCCCGCAAGGGACACACCCGGCAGGGGATATGCTCGATTCCTGGAAGGAGTGGAAGATCGTATGCCTCTCCCAGCTGTCCATTGAGGATGTCGAAGACGTGTGGATGTTTGGCCTGATGATCACTGGATTTCTTCTGATTGGAGTGGGAGGATATCTGGTTTTCTGGAAATTTGGGAAGACAGGAGCGATTGGAGGGCAAACCGCACCCACAGAAAGCACTGTCCGTGTGGAGACCTCACAGACTGGGACGCTATTCGAGGTGAATCATAAGCTGGACAATGTTCTAGCTGCGATACCGGTATTAGTGCGCAAAATGGATGTCATCTTGGAGAGGGTCACCGGACGGTATGGACAAGATTAAAAACCTAAATTGGCTTCACTGGTGGACTTGAATGATCAGTTTAAAGACTGAAGGCAGAGAGGAAAATTATCTCAGCCTGACCCAAACAAAGTCTTGTTATACGAATCTGACGCCATAGCAGCCTTCAAGATGCTAACAACTACCCCCACGAAGGAATGCAGACAGATGCTGTGAAAACCCTCCCTACACTACCCCCACCCCCCCCACCCCACCCCCACCCCGCCCCGCCTTCGGATTGGTGGACTTCAGCCTGACGAGGTCATCAACCTGCAGGAGTCAATGTGCTCTGCGCTCCTCCCAAGATCTCCATCCCACCTGTGGCTACAGTGACTGAGCGCCGTACATGGCTGCTCTCGCTGGGGAAACAGGATCCCAGCCCCCCCACCCATCCCCACCCCTGCCTTCCCATTGGAGTATCATGTTATATTGTGATGTCTGTTGCTTATCTGTTTGGGGCGGGGGATTTTTTGCAGAGCAAAGCTGCCCTCCTGGTGGGAGAGTAGCTAAGAAGTGCCTTTTTTGTCCCTCCTCCCGAATCAATCCTCATGTAGTGCGACTCTGGGGTTGCGAATGGCCACAGTCACCAATTCTTGTCATGTGTCTTACCCATGTATGTCTGATCTCTGAATTGTGTGTACTGAAACTCTAATTTCCCTCTGGGATTAATAAAGTATCTTTGATTGATTGATTGATTGATTTTATGTTCAGCCTAAATGTTAAACTCAGAGTGACAGATTACTAGCAGAAATTAAAGCTGCAAGCAGTGTTGTTCGGCCCTCGCTCTGCGCCACTTTGGCCTAGTGTCACAACCATGCGCAGTGAGTCAGATTAGGGACAGTCACATCAATTTTTTTGCAGATAAAATGAGAATTGAGTAACTGAGAGGAAAACGTAATTCCATGGCATGATGTATAATTTCGCTATGCCCTCTAAGCCCCTCCCCTCTTGTAAACCTGCCAGTACTGGACACTAAGGCACCCCAAAATGTCTACTGCTATTAGCCAGACCTTCATATTGATTAAGTGAAAGGTGTAAAATTGGGAGCTCTAACAGTAAAGAATGTTTGTGGCAACAGGTCAATGTTTGAGGCTTGGTCACGCCCACACCCGTGAAAAATCTGTTGGTAGAATTTCCCCCCCATGGCTTAAGAGTATTGACCCTTTGCACATGACGTCACGCCACTCACGAGGCTGCCGTCTTCACCATGATGGACGGCGAAAAGACCGTTTACACCCGTTGAAACTCCAGTGAAGCTAGTCAAAACAAGCCAGTTTGTAGCCTTTCATCACTTTTATTTAGTTGATTTGACAGTAAAATGGTTTTAGCTTGCTGTGTGGTTGGCTGCACTAACAGACAAGGATGTAAATGCAACGCTTTTGTTTTTTTAATAACTGTGATGGAGACTGAGGACGGAGATGAACTGCAGTAATCAATCAAGCGGACTAGCAGCCCTCAGATTTGCAGCGAGCATGTTTTTACCAGGTAAGATTAATGTTCATTTATTTCACGAGGAAGACAGGGACAGGGATAAATGTGATGTGTTTGTTTATACTAGTTATTGATAATCCTGATGGATGAGTATTTCACCACGGAGGATGAGCGCCGTCCACTGTAGTGTAATGCGGGATAATTATTAACAATATTAAAGCTCTGATGTATGACTATGTGTGTTAAAATTACATTATTTATTTATATGAGCGTCGGCGTTCAGAGATCTTCTCATACCGGTGTGAGAGCAGCAGCTGAACCTGGTAACACCACCAGCAACAGAAGCTGGTAGAGATCCGGACTTTTTAAAAATCAGCTTTGGTGTAAAGTGAAACGCTGTTTATAGCATAATGTTATAAATCCAGCGGGGTGAATTTAGGCAAAGTTAGCAACATGTTTACATCGGTGAACAGCTGCAGAGAGAACGTAAGCTAACGTTGGTAAGCTAGTTAACATACCGCTCTCTAGG